CAGTTTTCCACAGGGTCTCTTAGGAAAAAGGTCACATCCCCAAGAAGACCTCCTTAAGCAGTGACCTGATTGATAGGTTGGACTCTACCCCTATGTCACCCAGGTAGGCCAAGTTGACGGGAAAACGTGGCCATCAAAACCAGTGTATAGAAGTGTGTGTGACTCGTCTCACAGAAGCAAGGGGTTGTGGCATTCATCAGGGTTGTTACTTCACTGTTGTTTTATTGAAAAAAAGAAAGGCTAACAGTTGTATGAGCCCCTAATAAAATGTTAAAAAAAAAAAAAAAAAAGAAACCCAAACAACTGGACCAAAAGACAACATTATGATTAAACAGAGATAAGATTGAAAAAAAAAGAAAAAAAAGAAAGGCTGAAAAAAAAACCCTAAATCATCTTTTACATAGAAACATTCCTGGTTTAGGTAAGAACTTAATCCTCCCTGTAATGCTATAGAGATGACTGATTTTCATAACCTTTCCATTTTAAAGTATTTTTCATGGTATGAAAATCAGAAAGTAGACATAAATAAAATGGAAATACAATGCTCGAGACCTCACCCAAACCAGAAGCCCATGGCCATCAACAGACTGGCAGTCTGTTGGCAGGTTTGAACCACTGACCTTTGCATTAGCAGCCGAGCACTTAGGCCCTGTGCTGCCAGGGCCCTTTTCCTCACCTTCCAAACCAAACCCACCAACCCACTGCCATTGAGTCCATGTGGATGCATAGTGGACCTATAGAGGGTTTTGAGGCTGAAAATCTTTATGGGAGCAAACAGCCTCATCTTCCTCCTGAGTGGCTGCCGAGTTTGACTCACCCACCGTCCAGAAGAGAGAAAACAACTGTTAACAGTTGATGTATATTTTCTACATTATTAGATCATTATTAGATCATTTTCACCCACTCCTTCAATATCCTGTCAGCTCATCTGGCCCATGGCTTCTTTTACTGCCGTTTGCCTGGTGTGGGAAGCTGCTTCTCAGAGGAAAGTTAACAGACGGCTCTGGGGTTATCAGGAAAGAGAAAGCCTGCCCTTGGGTCTCTGGCATTGTCCACTGAAATCTGCATGTCGGTGCAGTACAGTGGACACACCTTGCAAACCTGGTCATTAGAGTCCTGAGTTGTTTGAATGGCATGTGCTGGCTGACAGATGGATGGGAAAGGTCAAGAAAGGGTAATGGAAGAACCCTGTCGCTCTATCCATCCCAGACAGGCTGAGAAAGTATTTGGCGTGGTCATTTCTCTTCCATCCTCCTTCCTGTCTTGCACGTTCCCTAATGTAAGCGGGGACTGGTACAGTAAAGTGGGTTATACTCACACAGTGGTATCCAGTGCAGCTGGAAAAAGAAATAAATGGGGAAATGTCTATATACTTCTATGGAGTACATTTTGTTCAATGTAAAATGCAAAGTAAGAAAAGTGAGTAGTAACATGCTACCTCTACATATGTCTACTTGTTAGATTTTATGTTAGAATATCAATCTCTTAATCACTATCAACTAGAATTCAGTTTTTAGAAAAAGCTATCCCTAAAATTCAAAAGTATACCTACTTTTTTATCAAATTGCAGAACTACACAGAAAGGAATTGTTTGCAGGATTAAGCACTGGAATTTGACTATACATTTCTTATGGCATATACCCTCAAGACAAAAAAAAAATCCTAACTTTCAATCATGGCATCTATGAGTCAATTCTGATTCACATGGATTTCCCAGGCTGTGTAAGTCAGAATCAACTCAACAGTGATGAATTTTCAAGGGTTTAATCCTTATGAGATCAGGTGGCCAAATCTTTTATTCCACAGAACAGCTTGTGGGTTAAAACAGCCAAACACTTGTGTTTTACTAGCAGGGTGAAATAGTTAAGGCTTATTGTGCCAACCTGGCAGATAAACACATGTGAGATTAATTGAAGGGCGGGGGGATAAATGGCTCAATGAGCCTCGCCTTTCTAGTTCTCGGGTCTCTTGCTTTCTGATGGTCGGACCTGGCTGCAGTTGCCTTAGCCAGTTCCCTGCTCCAACTGACAAGGCTCACTTCCTGTAAGACATCCCCAAGGAAAAGCCACATGGACCTACCCCGATGCAGCCCGAGGTGCTGGAGCAGCTGTGTGGAGACCCCTGCCAGCGCTAAGATGCTTACATGCTCACTGATTCGGCTTTCCTCCTGTAGTCGGTGTCATTGTGTGTGTTTTTTGAGATGGAGGAGGGCTTTGTAGATCGGTGTTGGACATATGGGCTAATGTTGGACTTATGGGCATGGGCAGCGCTGGGTTGGGATGCTTTCTTAATGTACACTTAAACTTTATATAAAACTCTTTCTTATACATGCGAGTTTCTGTGGATTTGTTTCCCTAGTTTACCCAGACTAACACACAGGGCTCCTTATGAATCATGTAATTGGTGGTAGTGTTGGGATTGATAGTCTTATTGATAGTTATGAAATGAAGCAAATGAATCATATGGTGGAGTAGATGAGTAGATCGAAAAGGCTAAGTAAAACCTATAAGATTGAATATGAGTTAGAAGTATCGTTAAAAATTCATGATGTGTGTTCTCTTAAAATGCACCAAACTTCTATCCTCTGAGAGTGAATCCCCAGATAGGGCACACAGTGAAGCCCCAGCCACTAAGCACGCGGTTGGCCATTTCAAGCCACGCAAAGCTTTCTTTTATCTTAGAAGAAAGCTCTGGCTTCTGACTTCCAAAAGACACAGCCGTTGAAAAGCCTGTACAGCACCGTGCTTCTCTGGCACATGGAGGATCATCAGGTGTCCAAATTGATGGCAATTGCTTTGTTTTTTTTCCTTTTTTTAAAAATTAATTTGGATTTTAATACATATTACATATCCTTCCACATCTCAATCACGTTAAGTAGAATTGTACAATTGCTACCAAACTCAGTTTCCAAGCATTGTTTTTTCTACGTGTTTTTGTTTTACCTTTTCAAAAGGCTTACATTGAGCACCCTCGCTTCCAGATTTGGGGTGCTAAACCCCATTTCTCAATTAATGGAATTAAAGATCCTTGGAGAAATGGATGGTCACATATTTGAGGCAGAGGGGTTACAGCGTGCTGTGATAACATCTACCCCATCAGAAAGCAGAGGGACTCTCACAGGCTTCTGGCAGAGATAGGTTAACCAATAAACAAGGTAAGCATGAATTTACTTGTGCTGAATAACTAATGTATTATGGACCATTTCTCCAGTGGTGGAACTCGTGTGAAATTATCCACTGCAGGTTAGGAAATAAGCATCAATAAGCCTGTGCTTACCTTGTCTCTTGGGTAAATTTGGAAAGAGGCTTTGATTTTTCTGGAAGGTGCTGTGGTATTGGGAGAGAGACAGGTGCTCGTCAGGCTTCGAAGCAGAACCTTTGATGTGGTGAAAAACTGAAATTGTTCATTGCTGATTAGCTAGGAAGCAGAAGCAACCCCGTAATTACCATGCTTATTGGGTCATCCCACGCTGAAATCATGTTACAGGAAATCAGGCCGAACTGAACAGGGCCTCGCTGGGTACAGATGGCCCATTTGAGCATCTATCAGAATAAAACGGCAACAAACGGGAACACATCAGATGTATCTTTAACTTCATAGAGTCATATTTTTGTTTTATCTAGATACCCTGTCCCCCAAAAAAGCTCTCAATGATTAAATTAGGAGAATGAGAGTGATGTAAATTCTATTTCTTCCGATGATAAATAAGAGGGAAGGGATCAAGGCTCCCCCTGGCTTTTCCTGCACAAAAGGTTACTGATGAATGATCGTCAGGAAGGATGGGATGGAAAACGGTCACCATGTCACAACTGTTCCTGGAGGAAGGGGCCCTGGTGACTCTGTGGGGAAGGCATGGGGCGGCTGACCGCAGGGTCGCATATCCAAACCCACCAGCTGTTCCACAGGGGCAAGGGGAAGCCAGAATTAACTTGGGGGCAGTGGGTGGTGGCATGTGAAAGCGGATCGAAGCAGAGACCACCCTGCCTGTGAACATCACCAAATAAGATCACAGCTAGACGGGATGTGCTGTGATGGGAAGGGCACACTGACCCCTCTAAAGGTACTCTTGTACAAATATATATATATATAAATATATATATATATAAATCCTTCAGACCGAAATCTGCTCACGCCTCTAAACTCAATCTTCAATTTAGAGGAACTGCTGGGGATTAATACTAGTTTAAATGAACCCATGGGTATTCAGTCTGTGAACTAATTCCAGGCTGTGAGAAACTCAACAAGACAGTCGAGGGAGTTTTTAAAACTACAGGGGAAAAAATTAGGAAGGGAAGACAGCACATGTGGATTCAGAGATTAGATTGAAGAAGCGTAGCATCTGCCGTCATGGTATGTCACGTATGTGCAGCTTGATTCAAAGACGCTAGGAAGGGAGAGGAAGCAGGAAAGAAGTGTGAGCCCAATTCTATGGGTTCGTGTGTGACGGTATCAAAGAACTGGTGGTTTAACTACACTCAGTACCATAGATATAATCACAAGCCATGTGGTTGCTCCCTTCGAAGAATTCTTGCCTTCTCAGGATGCACGCTCACATAGTTTCAGAATGAAATGATACATTGTCTGCAGTTTGCTTTGTCTAAAGGCAGTGGGAGTGAGAAAGATGAAGCAAGCTTGGACCACTGTTGTAGCGGGAAGATAGATGCTTGGTGGTGGGGGGTGCCTTCTAAATACAATTCTCCCTACGTTTAGTTACATGTGAAGTTTCCATAATAGAGCCCCTTGGTTGTTTTCAAAGAAGCAGGCTCTGGCTTGTGTTTTCTGTTTGATTCCTTCCTTCTAGAATTCGGGAGGGACTTGGCCAGTGAGACCCCATGGGACTTAGTGCACCTGCCTCTTTCCCTACCCAGACGCAGACATGTCCACAACCCTGTTGTTTGGGTAAAAGTTTTCTGACTCAGTGAGATGGCTTTGGGTTTGGGTTCCTGTTGTTGGTCTCTGGGGATGCTGGAAGAGTCACTGACTGCTTGCTGCTTCTTCAGGCTCTGGGATCTCCAGCTATGCGAAGAACCCCCAAGATGTCCCCCAAACCTTTGAGGAGTGCATGCAACACATCAAGAAGCAGATTCCAGTCCACCTCCATGGTTCCACCACCATTCACCTGGGAGCCACGGCTGGGATGCGCTTGCTGAGGTAAGGGTGTCGTGGGAGGAAGGAGCCCGCTTCTCCAAATTAGTTAGGCATGTGCGGAACCTTGCCAGGAATGTGACTCTATTTCTGGGAGCAAATCTCAAACAAGGGAGACCATATTCTGCTACCACTGTTGGCTTTCAAGGTTGGGAAACATTCCGTCCTTATTTTAATACCCAAAAAGAAACAGTCCTAAAATTGATTCCATTTCCCTTGGTGATTGTCCTGAGAACTCTGAGTAAAAGGGCAACAACACAACTTCTCCTCACGGCGTGTCCTTTCGAAAAGCATCGATGCTTTGACCCCTATGAACAGCCAACTCCTCTCAAGAAAACCCGTCGCTAGGTAGCTTCTCCCCAGGTGCAAGTGTCTTTGAAACCTGTTTTCAAATAATGAAATGCCTGAACCAAAAATGACCCCGTCTTTGGAGTTTCCATGAAACAAACATTTCCTTCAGCTGAGCATTTCTTCCTAGTTGTACGGCCATGACTTTCAGCTGAGTCACGTTGTTCCTGAACACCCTTTCCCTTCCTTGTTCTCTCCATTATAAGTCTCTGATTCCTTCAGCATGAATTAAAAGGAAAACAGGTCAGAAGCACACAAGAAAAAAAACCGCGAACTCAAACCTATTCTGGGCAGAGGCTGCTCCAGGCTTTGGGAAATAAGGTTTGCTGCCAGAAGAAGCCACTCATTTGGATTAAAAGCCACATGGGCTATGGATCCAGTAATCTAGAGTTCCAGGTGGGGAGATATGAAAAAGTCTATAAAGAAATAGACAAACACCCACATTGTCCCTGGTCACCTTGGAAGTGAAGCCCTGAAAACGCTCCTTCAGTTAGACTGGACCTTTGCTCTTGGAACTTCCACACGTGCCCTTGGGTCTGTTCCTAAATCCTGGAAGACAGATTTCTTTGCATTCTGCTGTTGCCCATACAGTAGCGGTGTGTTTCAAAGTATCAGGTTTGCCTGAAATAGAAATCTTCTAGAAATCCTCTGTTTCTTTCAGAAGGAAAATCTTCTAAAGAACCCAAGTCTCTTTTCATTGTTCCTCCTGGGCCTCCTGGTGAGAAATAATGGAAAGACTCTAGAATGTATTGCCCATGACAAAAAACTGGAAGACAGAGCGTACCACTGGAGGAAAATAGTGGATATCCTACTTGAATACATCAGCTAGTGGTCCCTCCTCCTCCAACTGTACTGTCGCTGATCCAGTTCTTCTAAGGAAATCACTGACATTTTGATCACCAGAAAATGAACCACCAAAAAAGAAAACTGAGAGCCTGCTGGAATGAGAATGGGGCGGTGGGGATGCGGGGAACCTCTTGATTTTTTATTTTCCAATCAGGAAACGTTTGCCACTGAATTGGAAAAGACTGCTGAGTGCAGCATTGCTTTTTCATTAGCCTGAGCCCGTGCTAGTGCCCCTGGCGTTCTTAACCCAATGGGACAATAATATCCCAGAAGAGTTTTCCGTTTTCTTTTAGATCATTTTATTGGGGGGCTCTTACAGCTCTTATAACATCCCATACATCAATTGTATCAAGCATATTTGTACATATGTTGCTATCATCATTTCCAAAACGTTTTTCTACTTGAGCCCTTGGTAGAAGGTCCTCTTGTAGATGAGCTTTCTTTCCTGCGGCGGAATAACAGCGGATAAATGAGATTCACGATGCTATGTCATAGGTGATGTATGGGACTATGCTCTCCCGCCTCCGTGGGCCAGTCCATCGATGGTTTTCTATCCAGTCCTGAAGGAGAGATCCTATTATAAAGACACGCTCTCCAGGAGCTATATTCCGGCCCATTCCTTTCCCCAAGGAGTTTTAGTGGCAGAGTACTAACAGCAAGGTCGCTTGGACCCACCCACCACTCCGTGGGGGAAAGATGAGGCGATCAGTGCACAGAGATGTAAAAGTCTCAGAAACCCAAAGGGGTAATCGACGCTGCCCGGTTGACTCGCTGTGAGTCAGAAGCAGCTCAGTTGCAAGGAGTGAGTGTATCCTTTCAAACTGTGCTGTCTTCTGGTCTGCAGAGAGCTCCTTTATATGGTCCCGTCCTCTCCCTTTCCTCCCAAGCGCTTCTTTTCACCACTCCTTTGCCTTCCTCAATGTCCCTTCCTCTGCCGATCTGAGCTGGAGCAATCGTGTTAAAGTAAGACACCCCCTTCTGATGAGCTGGTTGTTAGCGACTTGGGGCAGGAACTAGTTGGGGTGGGGAGAACTCAGCTAATATTTACCGCAAGTCAATTTCCTGTTTGGCAGAGTTAGCCAGGAGGCAAGTCTTCACAATTGCCCCTGGAAGTTTCCACTTGCAAAGGGGGTTGCTTGTGTAATCTCACCTATCTGGAAAATCTAACCCTGTGGTGGGGAGGGGGTGGGGAGGGAGGCTTGCGTTTTCACTGCAGTGGGACTCTTTGAAGACTGTGTTGTGTGGGCACTCAGCCTCTTGTATTCTGTGCCCTGCATAGGTTGCAAAATGAAACAGCAGCCAGTGAAGTCCTTGCAAGCATCCAAAACTACTTCAAGTCCCAGCCCTTTGATTTTAGGGGTGCTCAAATCATTTCTGGGCAAGAGGAAGGGGTATATGGATGGATTACAGCCAACTATTTAATGGGCAATTTCCTGGAGGTGTGTGGAAACAAAATGCATGGTTTTTCATCTTGCTGTTTGTCTCGTCTGCTTGGGCGGTAGTTTAAGCAGAGGTGCATGCCAACAGGGCCATCTGTACAGTGGCATTCCCATCACATAGCGCATCAGGGCAACCACATCTTGGAAACAACAGCTAAGAAAGTGGTACCATGTACCCCATGTATAACTGGTCCCAAAAGTTGGATCATCGGGAGCGTTGGGTGAAAAGGGGAGGGGGAACATTCTTACTTTATTACATTTTGAAAACGGGAGGAAATTTCAATCTAACCCTGGACGATTGGGTCTTGTGAAGGGCAGCGGAAAGATGATATTTCCGAGGGGGTTCGTGGCCTTGTGGAATGAGAGAGCCTTCAGGCAGTCTGCTTCCCACCGCGTTCTGGGTACTCAAGCCTCCCCACACCCCACAGCCCACACTCCTTGCACCCACGAAGCCTAGGGGATTCAACCCCCGATGCCAACCATCAGGTACCAGAGGATCCAAACTCAGAGCACCCAGACCACAGCCAGCGCTGTTCTTCTCGAATGCATTGACGTTGGAAATGTTGTCAAGAGTTAACCTATAGGAAGTGTTGCAGAAAATAGCCACATTTCTAGCCCCCGGTACGCACGCAGTAAGAACCCATCCCAATGGACTCATATTCCCACACAGTAGCAGTCTATTGGGAAGGGATGCAGCTAGTGCACTCACCAGGGTGTCCTGGCCCCCAGCATCCCATTGGTCACTTGAAGTCTAGTGCACTCAGTAAATACTCAAGTTCACATCGCCTGCCCAGTCCCTGCAGGCCTTAGAGTTCACCACTGGAGAATCAGGAGAAGCAACGAGGCCCGAATGCTGTGCGTGCCTTACTTCATAGCACTAGGAGCCGGGTCTTGGGTGGAGAATCCTGGGCAGACAGAGACGGTTGCCTTTGGCCTTTTTTCTTGCTTCCTTCTCCACTGTGCAGAAGAACCTGTGGCGCTCGTGGACGCGTCCACATGGAGTGGAGACGACAGGAGCCCTGGACCTGGGTGGGGCCTCCACCCAAATCTCCTTCGCGGTGGAAGAGCAGGAAGGGCTGAACACCAGCGACATCGTGCAGGTGTCCCTGTATGGCTACGCGTACACCCTGTATACACACAGCTTCCGGTGCTATGGGCGGAACGAAGCGGAGAAGACATTTCTGGCCAAGCTCCTTGAGGTACCTGGGCCCGGCGGGTAGCATGCGTTCCCATGAGGCCCTGAGCTGAGGAAGGGTCCCTACAACCTGGGCTCTCTCATTTCCACTCCAGTTGGAAGACTGATAGAAAACACTAGGATTCTTTAGTTGATCCCTGGAGGATCCACGCTGTCTCTCTGCAGTGTCGTTCTCCTGTGGCATATGCCAGTGAGTGTCCAGGGACGTTTCAGAGCTCCGGATGCTTTGGGAATGATTCCAGACCCGAGACCGGTTTAGGGACACAGTCTGTTTTAAGGCAATAGCTAAAGAAGGCTGAGCATTTGGGAACTCTCCTGGGTGAAGACAACAACATAACAGAGGTCTCGAGAGAAATGCTTGCTGAAGGACACCATCAGAGCTCTCCCCACGCTAAGCCTCCTTTGAAGTGAGTCTGTACTTGGCAGGCCTTGTATAGGGTGGAATCTTAGAGCAGCCTGCTTCCATCACGAAGGCTGTCAGTTCCAGTCACTGGCCCAGGGCAGAGATGGATACGGCAGGCCTCGGCTAGGAGTCTGTCACCGTAGAAGCTCGGCATATTGCATTGAGTGTGTATGCGGACGCTTGTTCAATGGATGAGACCCTGAGTAGACTCTAGCTCTCAGGGAACTTCGACCTCAGCCCTGGCTGGACTACTGAGATGAAGGAGAAGGCACACACACTCCTCCTTTCTTTTCTTTTTTTTCTAATCATTTTATTAGGGGCTCATACAACTCTTATCACAATCCATACATACATCAATTGTGTAAATTGCATTTGTACATTCATTGCCCTCATCATTCTCAAAACATTTCCTCTCCACTTAAGCCCCCGGCATTAGGTCCTCATTTTTCCCCTCCCTCCCTACTCCCCCCTCCCTCATGAGCCCTTGATAATTTATAAATTGTTATTTTGTCATATCTTGCCCTGTCTGACATCTCCCTTCACCCACTTTTCTATTGTCCGTCGCCCAGGGAGGAGGTCACATATAGTTCCTTGTAATCGGTTCCCACACACACTCCTCCTTTCCCGGAGGAGTTTGGGATGAGCAAGAGGCCATAGGTCCTAGATTCTGATGGGATGCAGGGCCAAGGACGTGGCTTGAGGAGTCCTGTGCACACAGTAGGCACGGCATCCACAGGTGAATCTGCACACCTCTAAGCCTCTTTGATTATCCAACAGAGGGACAGCAGTTCTCAGCCACTAGCCTGCAGATGGTCTCAGGAACCCAACGCAGAGTCACTATGAATCAGCCTTCACTCGTTGGCAGTGGGTTTTGGTTTAGGATTTGGTTTGGTTTGTATAGCCTGTAGAAAAACCTAGCTGGTTTGCAGAAGTGTCTTCTCTACCAGAGCTCATGCAAGGTGGGTGATGGGAACTCACCTTTTAATTGTGACCCCCCCACCCCAAAACTTCTGGGTCTCACCAAAAAAGCCAGAGCCCCTGGTACATAGGCATGGGACATTTGATGCCAAAGAAGCTGAGTACTGCCTGAGGAAGGGCAGAAAGGGAGAAGCCTACAGTAACTCTCAGCCTCTCCCCACCCCCCAATAGTTTTATTGGCATATAATTCACATACCGTACAGTTCAATCACTTCAAGAAGAGTTGTGCAATCATCACCACTATCGGATTTTTTTTATGTGTAAGAAAGAGCTTTATATCAAGAAGTAATTATATGTCAAGAAAACACCCCAGCCCAGTCTGTACATCCTATACTAGATCCATAAGTTCTTCCTCAGACACACACAGCCACATGCAATGATGCTGAATGCAGAAAGATCACAGGCTGACAGGTGTAAAGTTGGGTGGATCTCCCTTGCAGAGGGGTCTCGGGGAGGAGATGAGCCAGTCAGGGTGCGATGTAACAATGATGAGAAATACAACTTTCCTCTAGTTCCTAAATGTTTCCTCCCCGCTCCCACTACCATGACTCAAATCCGATCTTGCAAGTCTGGCTAGAACAGAGGAGGTACACTGGTACAGATAGGAACTGAAAATACAGGGAATCCAGGACGGATGAGCCCTATAGGACCAGTGGTGTGAGTGGCAAAACAGGGAGGGTAAAGGGAGAATGGGTAGGAAAGAGGGAACCGATTACATGGAACTGTGTGTGACCTCCTCCCTGGGGGACAGACAACTGAAAAGTGGATGAAGGGAGATGTCGGACAGGGCAAGATATGACAAAATACCCATTTATAAACTATCAAGGGCTCATGCGGGAGGGGGGAGCGGGGAGGGAGGGGGAAAATGAGGACCTAATGTCGGGGGTTTAAATGGAGAGAAAATGTTTTGAGAAACGATGTACAAATGCGCTTTACACAACTGATGTGTGTATGGATTGGGATAACATTTGTATGAGCCCCTAATAAAATGTTAAAAAAAAAAAAGTTGGGTGGATCTGAAGTCAGTGGAAACATGGCAGCTCTCAGGTGGCCATCAAGCAGGAGAGTGAAGACAGAGAGAGAGAAGGGGAGGTTCCTGGAGCCCTCTTTATGAGAAGGTCACACCCACAAGGAGGTACCATCAGGCTGTGACCTGACTGGCAGGTTGGACTCCACCACTACACTTCTGTGCATTGTGCACTTCCCCAAGAGCACAATGAGGTATTCTGAAATGCTCATTTGTCTCAAGGCAATCCATATTTGATATGTCCACAGAGTCAAATGCTTTTGCACAAAGAAAACAAACAAACATCTTTCTGATATTCTCTGCTTTTAGCCAATAACCATCTGTTGTCCACGATGATATCACTTGTTTCACATCCTCCTCTGAATCTTGACCTCTGTCAGCTCCCTGTCAATGTCCTGCTTCAACCCTTTGGGATGGGCTTTCGACTTGCATGTGATATAAATGAAATTGTTCTACTATGGAGCATTCTGTTGGGTCACCTTTCTTTGGAATGGGCACAAATATGACTCTCTTCCTATCAGTTGGCCAAGCAGCTGTCTCCAAATTTCCTGGGATAGATGAATGAATGCTTCCACTGTTCCATCAGCTTGTTGAAACATGTCGATTGGTATTCCATCCATTCCTGGAGCCTTGTTTACCACTATCAGATTTAGAACATTTTCTTCATTCTTGTCCTCACTGTTCTTAGCTCCCCATTTCTTCCTACCTCCCCTGCTGTCCCCCAAGGAACCATTCATCCAGTTATTGTCTCTATAGATTTATCAATCCTGGACTTCAGATACAGAAAAACACTTTTAAAAAAGCAACCACAAAAAACTAACAAGGATAGCAAAATGAAATAAACATAAAAACTTCAATCAAAGAGAAAACAAGAAATACTTTAAAATAGTATGAATTTAAATGGCTCATAAGGGAGACTACATTCTGTATGTTGGAAAGGCTAATCCACGTGTATTTCCTTTTTTTTTTTTTAACTGAAACAGCTTTAAGATGGGTCGAAAGTAAGATCAAATGATAGTTTTACATTTTGACCTAAGTCTTCCATAATCGACTTTACAATGCTTTCTGTCTGATAACAGGGTTGTTCACATGCCTCAGCTGTCATCAGAGGGAATCCACCAGAGGCTCGGTTCATGTGCGGACTTTGCAAATGAAGTCTGGGCTCCCACTGTCATCCATCACCTTCTGCAAACCAAGTGCTCACAATTTACGCTCTGGTACCATTCCCTCCTTTAGCTTTCGATTATATTATTTATAATCCATGGATCACACAGACTGGTGTGCTTCTTCCATGTGGGCTTAGTTCAGTGGTTCTCAACCTTCCTAATGCCGCAACCCTTTAATATAGTTCCTTATTTTGGGTGATCAATGCTACTTCATAACTATAATTTTGCTACTGCTATGAATCAGATGACCCCTGTGAAAGGGTCATTTAACCCCTATAGGGGTCTCGACCCACAGGTTGAGAACCGCTGGCTTAGTTGCAGCCTCACTTAGATGGCTTCTTTAAAAACAAGCCTTTAAGACCCAAGGTGCTATTCTTTGATAGTTGGGCACCATCTACTGTCTTCACAGCACTTTGCTATATAGCACCTGTGTCGTCAGTGATCCTATCATGAAGTCAAGCATCAAGCAGAACCATGTCATAAGAATTAACTTTTTAATTAATTAATTGTTCTTAGATTGGGGCTAGAGTTAAGTAAAAAACCAAAATCCATGTATGCATCTATGGTTTATCTGTGGCTCGTCTTATAGACACCATTTTTAGTTTATGTTAGAGGATATTTTCTATCATCCCCTTGGGGGATCGCTTCCCCTGCCATCTGACTCGTAGAGACCCTGTAGGGCAGGACAGAAACGCCCCAGGGAGTCTCTGAGCCTGCGTACCTTCACAGGAGTAAAATGCCTCATCCTTCCCCTGAAGAGCTGATCAGCCTCTCTTCTAGGGCTCAAGAAACTCACCTATCACTCTAGACTTGAACTCCCCACTCAGGCAGACCTCCCCCCACAGTAGGCCCGTCGACCCGACTTAGCTCACCCTCCTGAATCATTGTTAAATGGGCATGCTCCTTATAGAGGACACAGGGCCCACCACCCTCTCCCCCTTGGTTATTAAAATACTTCAAACAGCATGCAAGTACTCTGGCCCTGGGTTTTGGGTGGGAGATGGACCACCTTCTTACCTTCAGGTACGGTAAGGGAAGTGGGTGACATCATTCATTTCCAGCACCAGGAAGGCTAACTTTGTCAATGTGGCTGGTCTTTGCTGAAGAACACACACACTACACTACATAACCCTCTAGAACCCACAATGTGTATAAGAGACATGGCTATACCACCTTTGTGTTTGGGTGTGCAGGTCTCTGGGTGGGAACCCAGAGCTGGAGGCAGAGAAGTGAGACCTCAGCCTCTCCCTGTGGACAGGCAGGGAAGGCATCTCCCCCACTTTTCTAGTAACCTCGGATGCCGGAGATAATGGCTCTGCCCCGGGCACCCTAGCCTCCTGACTCAGGTGAGGGAGAGATCCAAAGTAATGAGGATCATCTACAACGGCACGTCTGCACCTGCCTGACCAATACATTCAGGTGCCAAATAAGTGTCGGTAAGCCCTGACTTGGTTCTCGCAAAGCATTGCATCATGAGAACTAGATGGATAAGTAGCACATTCCCATCAATCGCTGCCTCATTTCCTCATGTGCAAAATTAGGGGCTCCCTTGTGTGGTGACAGGGAGAAAGATAAGTTTGGGGGTTGTTAGTTTTTTGGTGGGTTAGTTTTTATTTTTTGGTGTGATGAGAATGATACTTATTGAATGATATATACTTTGCAAATCATTCTCTTACTAGCAAATCTCTACTCCCTCCAGGACGCAAATTACACTCTGCTATCAGATTGGATATTATGAACATGCATTTACTTCTCCTTTTTTAAGTTAGAATTTTCTCTTCTATGTGGTTTAAATGTAATGCATGTTTTAGTGAGGGGGGACTGTAGAAAACACATGCAACTATGTATACATATTTTTTTTCCCTGGGAACAGTGTACTTTATTGATGGCACATGACAAGGTCGGGCTCTCTAAGCCCCTCCCCTTCCTTCAAGGGGTCTGGATGGGATATTCTCAGTGTGTTGGGGATTGAATTAGGGGCAAAGACTCCCCAGCAGCTGAGGGCCTCTCTTCCTCTAGTGCTTGCTGGGGCTGGTGGTCCTGGGGGAGCTCTTACTCAAAAATATGGAACGCTTCCCGAATTTGCATGTCACCCTTGCTCGGGGGCCATGCTCTTCCCTGTATCATTCCAATGTTAGTCTATGTGCTGCCAAAGCGAGCACCAGATATAAATTTTTTAAATTAACTGTTCTTAACATGTCTTTCCTCCATTTGTGAGAGTGTGTGAATTTGTGTATTTATAAAATTGGTCTCATAATAGTATATTATAGTTTTAGGTCTGGCTTTTTAAAAATTTAATAATACATAATGAGCAATTTTTTCTGCTCTTAAATATCCCTTGCAATTATATTTTTATGAGTACATACTATTCCAAGTACTCTCACTGAAACAGAAAACAAAAAAAGAAAAAGAAACAGAAAACCTACATTGGGTTTGTTTGGTTTTTTAAATCATTTTATTGGGGCTCGTACAGCTCTTATCACAATTCATACATCCATCCATTGTGTCAAGCACATTTGTACATATGTTGCCATTATCATTTTCAAAACATTTTCTTTCTACTTAAGCCCTTGGTATTAGCTCATTTCCCCCCTCCTCCACCCTCCCTCCCTTATGAATCCTTGATCAATTTTTTTTCATGTCTTACACTGACCACTGTCTCCCTTTACCCACTTTTCTGTTGTCCGTCCCCCTGGGAGGAGGTTATTGTGATCATTGTAGATCATTGTGATCAGTTCCCCTTTACTTCCCCCACCTATCCCTTACCCTCCTGGTATCGCTATTCTCATTATTGGTCCTGAGGGGTTTATCTGTCCTGGATTCCCTATATTGCAAGCTCTTATCTGTACCACTGGGTATTTTTTAATTAGAGAAAATACATCCTTGGTGTCAGAGTTTTAATTGTGAACACTCAGTATACAGGAGGCTATGGATGCCTATGGGAGGTGAAAATCCATTTCCAGGGTCCACACTTAGATTAAACCGCCAGTGAACCCCCTCTGACCACAGTCACAGGATGTGAAGAGCCTTGTTATCAGAGAGGATTGTAGGGCGGTAATAGTAGATAATAGTTAGCCCAAAATGTAATGGTTTATTTGATCAACCTTGTGACCCATTTAAAAATTGTATCTGTTTTTAAAAAAAGGGGGGGAGGGAGAATGCACATGGATGAAGCCTCTGGTGAATTCCCCCTGAACATGGACCGGAGACATTTGAATAGCCCTGAGATCAGACAGAGGCCACGGAAAGTGGATGATGGCAGATGTCCTTAGGTTGAAATTCAACACCTTATCAGTTCATCTCCCTTTTGACCCATCTTAGAGTTGTTCTAGTTTTTAATGTTTTCTCCTTCCTTTTTGATGGAGGTTTTTCCTCTATTTTATTTTGTTAGCTTGTTGGTTTCTTTGCTTTTGTATGTTTTACAGGATGTAAAACCCAGATTGAGTGAATCTGTAGACAGTCACTGGATTAATAGTTTCTTGAGGGCCTGGCAGGGGAGGTTGGGGAAATGGAGAGCTAGCAGCCAGGCGTACAAGAAAGAAGAAAACGTTGTAAAATTGATGATGATAATGATTTTACAACTCTTCTTGATATGATTGAACTATTGAATTGTATGATATGTAGATAATGTCCCAATAAAACTTTAAAAATACATTCTTATTATAAAAATTACAAAGCAGACAAAAGGAAGTACATTAAATAAAAATGAAAGATTCTCTCTCCAGTCCCACCTTCTGCATGTCACCACTGAACACAGCTTGCTGGGTTTGGCTCGGTGTTGCCGGTGAACATATAGCACACTTTCCGTATGGCTTAGCATTCCATAGTTGTGTAGCTGTTCCCCTGCAGGGCACTGGGCTGTGCCTTGCTTCGTTGCTGTAGCAGCAGGACAGTAAACTTTCTTGTACACAAGCATTAGTGATTCTATACCAGGATTGGCACCCTGCCAGTACAAATAGTGAAGTGCTCAGCTGCGAACAGAAATGCTGCCTGTTCAAACTCACGGGCTGTTGTGCAGGAGCAGCTGTGACTGTTTGTTTCCAGTGTGTTTGCTCTGTCCTGTTGGGTTGCAATGTCAGAATCAACTCAAAGGCAGGCAGGGAGTGAGTGGTACCAGACTGCAACGTCAGGGTTCGGTTTTGAGGATCCGTTTCTGGATTTTCTGTTCTTCTTCTTCTTCATTGATCCATTCTAACGGTGCTACTAGGGGCCCTGATGGGACTGTGGTTGCACGTTGGGCTACGATCCGCATGGTTGGCAGTTTGAAACCACTAGCAGCTCCTCGGGAGAATGACTGACCATTCTACTCACGTCAATAGTTACAATCTCAGAAACTCACGGGGTGGGGGTCGCTATGAATCACATTGACCCGATGGGGGCGGGTTTGGAGTTTTAAGGGTAGTGCTTGTGGGTAAGTGTTGAACTGCTAACCCAAAGGTCAGTGGTTCAAATCCCCCAACTCATCATCCAGTCCACATGAGAAAGATGAGGTGAGACCTCTGCTCACATAAGCTTTATAACGTTGGAAACCCTACACGGAGTCCCTATGAGTCAGAATCAACTTGATGTCACGTGGTTTGTTTTTTTTACCACTTTTAACATTTTATTATGCAATGACAATTTTTAAATGACTATTATTATGAACCTTTGGCCTGCAATGATTATTGCCAGCATGTTTCTCAACGATTGCCAAGGAATACGCAGAAGGGACATCTCAGCACTTCCCTTAGTTCACAAGGGCACCAACAGGGCACACCTTTCAGTGACAGTGTTCTTAAAAGTATATAGTCGCACAGATCTGGAAAGCTTAATTCTTGTTGCAACACTATTGGTTTATATAACCATTTGAAAGATCATAGATTAACAAAGTATCTCATTTCATTTAAGGAAATACTTACAAATGAAGGCTGAGTCCTTAAGCCCACATCTGCTCTTGAAGATCATTTCCTTATGTAGTGGGCCAGAAGGTAGTTTCAGCACTTGCGTGTCCTGAATGACATCTCTGCCCTGACATTTCTAGAAGGTGTATCTCCCAGCAAAATGTATTTAATATAGAATAAAAGTAAAGCGGCACTATTTGCCTCCTCTGTTGAAATGAATTGCAGACCACAATTGCCGATTACTACATAAATTGAAACACTGCAGTAAAGCTGTTCGTTTTTAAAATATTTTGTACATCCTTTACATATTACGTTTACATATTATGTTTGAGTCTGTCTCCCAAATAGGTGTTTCAGTTCTTCACTCTATTTTTCTTTAGAAACAAATCCTGTAATGTACAACCTCTATAGAAAATGCTCTTTTAAAAAATAAGTGCATTTGGAACATTTTACACTTAGTATAACTTAGCAACAGTGTATGTTCATATATCCAGCTGGTTGTTAAGAGGCACATTACACAAAAAAGTTTCAAAAAGTTTGTGAAACATGTACTGAAAAGACAATGGAACTTTCCCTTGAAAGATTTGAAGTCCCCTTGTACATTAGAAAGTGTAGTAGACATATGCAGATGCTCTAGCCACTGATTAACGATGTATATGATTTAATTTCCTGCTTGGTTTTTTAAAGAAGTTATTCCATTTGTAAATTCAAATTTGGTTGACCCCTTGTAGTCTTTCTGCTTAATATTTTGAATACTTCCATTTTCTTTTTTTTTGTAGTCATTGAACTTCTTCACACTCCTGTTTCCTCCGCTCAAATTCCTGTTTCTTAGCACATTTCGCTTGTATCTGTGAATATTCTTCCTGGGCTTCTGATTGGATGTGTTTTTTTTTTAGAGTAGCAAATGAGTTCACTGTTGTGCTACATTGTTCTTACTTGGTTTGGTTTAAGGGTGCCCTGGTGGTGGCTCTGTGAGCTAGGGGTTGAGCTGCTAACAGCAAGGTTGGCAGTTCAAATTCACCAACTGCTCCCAGGGATATCAAATTCACCAACTGCTCCCAGGGATAAAGAGTAAATTGCCTGTCCCTGCAAAAAGGTATCATCTCAGACACTGTAGACAGAGCTGCTATGAGTCCGGATTGACTCAACGGCATTGGGTTTGGGTTCTTTTAAGGCCAATATCATGCTGTTGTCATTATGATCATTTCTTTTTCCACTCGGATTTTTTCTTTGTAATTATGCTGAAAATAGACACCCAAAAAGCAGTGGTTCAATAACTTCTACATATATGTCAATAATACTTTCAAACGATCCTACCATGTTCACATAAACTCAGCACCCCCCAAGCAAGCCTTCCTCCTTCCCTCCTCTCTCCTTCCCTCCTCCCTCCTTGGGAAATACTAATGACCTCTGGAATCTGTACATGGGCTTAATGCATGAAATGAGCTCCTGCCGTGCTTGTCCGTTGGCGACTGTGCTCAAGGCTCACCCACACTGTCGCCTGCACCCAGGCTTCGTCTCCCTTATGACTGAGCAGCGTCTCACTGTGTGCGTAGACCACAGTGTGAAGATTTGCTACAGTGCTGAATGCCAGGACAAATTGGCACATAGGTGAATTTGATTTAAGGAATGCCATCATAAAAGTGCTTGACACAATGGATGGATGGATGGATTGCATGAGACCCCAATAAAATGATTTTTAAAAAATTTTTAAAGAAAGGGAAAAAAATGTTTTTAATTAAAAAAATTAATCACTCAAACACAAAAGGGAGAACTAATATTCATTGAACCTTGCTGGAACAAGCCAGAAAAAATGTATATTCTTTTCATCAATGAAGAAATTTCAGATTTGGAGGGGGGTCCGGTGCTAAGTTAACTAGTTGATTGATTTGGATTGTTTTCTTTCCTTTCAACAAATATTTCAGCCATAGGTGACTCTGACCTGATATGCTACAAGTTAGATGAAACTATTTGTGGCTTTTTTGTTTGCTTGCTTAAAAATCATTTTATTGGGGGCTTATACAGCTCTTATCACAATCTATGCATCCATCCATTGTACCAAGCACATTTGTACATCTGTTGCCATCATCATTCTCAAAACATTTTCTTTCTACTTGAGCCCTTGGTATCAGCTCCTCATATCCCCCCTCCCTCCCCTCCCTTCCGTCCCTCACAAACCCTTGATAATTTATAAATTGTTATTATCTTTTCATATCTTACACTGTCCGATGTGTCACTTCATCCACTTTTCTGTTGTCCGTCCTCCAGAGAAGGGGTTATATGTAGATCATTGTGATCAATTCCCCCTCCTCCCCCTACCTTCCCCTTCCCCTCCTGGAGTTTGTTTGTTTTTGTTTTTAACAAAACAAAAGGAAGTGAGGTGTGAATAAATCACTTGTAATCTTCTGAAAACAAGCAAAAAGGTGTGGGACACTTGCCTGCCAGGGAAGGGAACTGGTGGCTGGAAATGTGTGGAAAAGAGACTTAATGATCATCGTGTCCTTATTTGTGCGTTTTGGATTATTTTGTCAGATGGTCTATCTAAAATCTTAAATTAATCTAAAGGTACTTTGTGTTTTCATCAAAAGGGAGTTCATAAAACCTGCATCACCAGGCTACGTGAGGACCGGATCAGATCAAGGGAGAGAGAGCCTGGCATTGTGCCTGGTGCACAGTAGCCACCTCCCCATGTCCCCAAGGAGTTCTCCAGTTAGCGGGGCCGATGCCCTCGAGCACACACAGAGGCAGACTGCTTTTGCTGTTTTGTTTCATTTCTCTGTCAATATTGGAGAGTAGCCATGGCGAGAAGTTGGAAGAGGGCAACATGTGGTTATCTACTAAAGCCTGGTTTCCTCTGTCTCACTCTTGTACCTACAGGCTTCTCCCAACAAATCCCACCTCACCAACCCCTGTTACCCAAGGGATTATGCCGCCACCTTCCCACTGTCCCACATGTTTGGCAGTCTGTGCACATGGCACCTGAAGCCGGCCGATTACAGCCCCTCCGACACCATCACTTTTGAGGGAACTGGGGATCCATCGTTGTGCCGGGAGAAGGTGGCTTCCCTGTTTGACTTTGGAGGGTGCCCAGACCCAGAAGTCTGTTCGTTTAATGGAGTATATCAGCCCAGGGTCAGAGGGCCATTTGTGGTAAGAGCTAATCCCACTGAACTCAGTCTCCTTTCACCCCGTGGAATGTTGGTTTGCTTTTCCTTGCTGTGTGGCTTCTCTTCTGCTGACTTGGTTTCCCTTTCTGTATCTCCCACCCCCGAAAAACCTGCCTCATCGATCTCGTCTGAGGACTAATGTCCTTTCGTCTGGCTTCCCTGCAGGCCTTTGCGGGATTCTACTACACAGCCAGTGCGTTAAATCTTTCCGGGAGCTTTTCCCTAGGAACCTTTAACTCCAGCACCTGGACCTTCTGCTCACAGACTTGGAGTCAGGTCAGTAAAGAGAAGGGATCAGTATCAGTGCAGAGAGAGAGAGACGTGTGTGTGTGTGTGTGTGTGTGTGTGTGTGTGTGTGTGTGTGTGTTTCACATGGGGGGGTCGCCGTGAAGTGGGGTCTACTGGGCAGCAACTGGTGGCTTTTGTTGTCTTGGGTTTTGCCTTTCACCGCATCTATCAGACGGGCTTCCCAGCTGCTCACCAAGAGGTCAGCGGTTCAAACCCACTACTGCTTCCTGATGATTAGAAAACGTGTAGATTGGAAAACCTGTAGGACAACCCAATCCTATGGGGTTGCTATGAGTCAGAATCACCTCCGCGGGAACTGAGTTTACTCACAATGTGGTTTCATGTTTCACCTGCACGCACGGTGACCGGAACCTAATACATATTCAATAAGTGCTAGAGAGATCATTGGGATGGGAAGTCAGGCGGCAGGCTTTAAGTACTAGATCGTCGCATTCCTAGACGGGAACGTTTATTATTAAACTCTGAGTGGTAAGTTTCTTCAGCCTGCCGCTGCTGGCCTGAGGTGTTGTGAACTGTGCCTCTGAAGACATGCCTGGCTGCCCTCATCTGTGGTCACCCTTTCAGCTCCCGCTGCTGCTCCCCAGGTTTGAGGAGGAGTACGCCCGCTCCTACTGCTTCTCCGCCCACTACATCTACCACTTGCTCGTCGGAGGATACAAGTTCACCGCAGAGACTTGGCCCCAAGTCCATTTTAAAAAAGAAGTAAGTCTTTCTCCTCTTCTTCTCAGATCAAAGGTCCATGTCTCCGTGCGTGGGAGAAAAATAGAAGATAAATATAGAAGATAAGCACCCTAGACAGAAGCTGGTAACCCTGCGGTCACTTGTGAGGAGAGGAGGACAGAGAGTTCAGATGAGGACTGCAGGAGACCATTCCAGATGGGAAAAGGGTTGGATGGGTTGGAAGCCCGGTGCCAATGGACAATGAGCTCCCCAGGGCAGAGGTTTGCCATATGGTTCTCATATTCCTGGCACAGGGGTTAGAACCCGGGAATATAACAAACCAAACTCACAGACAAGCTAACTTTTAGTGACCCTGTAAGACAGAATAGTACTGTCCCTATGAGTTTCTGAAATATAAATCTTTAAGGGAGTAGAAAACCTCATCTTTAAGGTTTGAAAAAAATCATCCCATTGAGAACTGATTTTGTAGTTAGCAGCTCAACGTGTAACCAGTACACCACCAGGGCTTCATAGAAAGCACTAGATACTTCACAGTAAATGTTTGTGAAATGAATAGATAAATATATGAGGGGGGCTTCGAAGAGCTTATAGAAGACAGAACTGAAAGATGATTAATGTCTCCATGCACTCTCTGAAGCTCCTTCATATTGATGGCCTGAGATATTTTTGTTCTGAAAAGTTTCCAATATAGCCTAATAATTTTCTTGTAAAGAACAGTGCCTCACAGAATTACACATGTAGAAATTGTTGAATTTCTATAGGTTCTTCTGTGTATCTTCTCAATAGTAACACCAACAATAGATTCTATTTTAAAATTTCTAAAGAGTAATAATTGCATATCCATTTTACATATCAAAGAAAAAGTTAAAAATAATACCATTTACAATAACAACCCAAAAGATGTAATACTTAAGAATACACCCAATGAGAGAAACAAAAGACCTTTACAAAGAAAACTGCAAAACACTACAACAAGAAAGCAAAAGAGACCTACAAAAAATGAAAGACTACATCATGTTCATGGATAGGAAGACTTGGCATTGTGAATATACCAGTACTACCCAAAGCAATCCATAAACACAATGCACTTTTAATCCAGATCCCAGCATCAGTCTTTAACGAGATGGAAAAATGATCATTAACCTTACATGGAAAGGAAAGACCCAGGACCTACTAAGCATACACAGTAGTAAAATGAGCCAGGTAGTGGTACAAGGATAGGTATGTACATCAATTAAGCAGAATAGAGAACCCACAAAAAATATATATTCACCTACAGACTACTGATTTTTTACAAAGGCCTAGATATATTTAATGGGGAAGAGATAGCCTCATTAACAAATGGTGCTGACAAAATAGGATTTTCATTTTTAGAATAATGAAACAAGACCCTTATCTCACTCTACATAGAAAAACAAACTCAACGTGGATTAAAAACCTACACATAAGTCCAAGAACTGTAAAGATCTTCAGTGGAAAATGGGGACAAATGAGGGGCCCTAACACATGACATGAACATACTATCAAAGCTAATGAAAAGCATACAGCAGCAGAAGATTAGATGGCTTTGATCAACCAAAAATAGAACATTTATGTGCATCAAAAGACTTCACACAAAAAATAAAAAGAAAACCCTCAGACAGGGGGAATAAAACCTTGGCAATATCTCGGACAAGGGACTAATCTCTCAAATCCACAGAAAACTTCAGCCCCTTTACAAGAGAAAGACAAATAATTCCATTAAAAAATGGACAGAGGACACAGGTCACCAAAGAAGAAACCCAGACAGCCAACAAACATATTAAGAAATGCTTGCGATATGAAGGAGAGGGGTCAGAGTATAGCCCCACAGCCCATCTGCAGACAATTGGACATTCCCTTACAGAAGGGTCACAGGAAGGGACGATTCGCCCAGGGTGCAGTATAGCACTGACAAACCACACACCACTCCTCTAGTTCTTTGATGCTTCTTCTCCCCACTATCAGGATCTTACAAATCCTACTAGACTGGCATATGTACACTGGTACAGATAAGAACCCTTAACACATGGAATCCAGGACAGATAAACCCCTCAGGAACAGTAATGGGAGCAATGATACCATGAGAGTACAGGGAGGGTGGGAAAGGGAAGGTAGGGGGAAATGATAGCAATAATAACCATTATTAAGGGTTCACGAGGGTGAAAGGGTGGGGGGAGGGAGGGGAAAAGAGGAGCTGATATCAAAGGGCTCAAGAAGGATGTTTTGAAAATTATGCTGGCCACACATGTACAAGTTTGCTTGCTATAATTGGTTTATGGATTGTTAACTAATGTCTGTAAGAGCCCCAATAAATTGTTTAGAAAAAGAAATGCTTGCGATGACTAGCTCTCCCAGGGACACAAATCAAAATGACAATGAGCTCAAGCATCCCAGCCCTGGTGTGGGTAGCAAAGTTAAAACTAAAAGCAAAACAAAATAACAAATGTTGGAGAGGCTACAGAGAGATTAGAACCCTCAACCCTGCTGATGGGGCTGTAAAACACTACAACCCCTGTGGAGAGCAGTATGACACTTCCTCCGACAATTGGGGATAGGGGTGTCATGTGACCCAGCAACCCCTCTACTTGGCATGGAACCCTGACGGAATCAGGAACATAGCAGAGGAGAGGTATGTACACACATATTCATCACCGCACTGTTCACAAGAGCAAGATGGAAATGACTTTAATGCCCATCGGTGGGATGACGGACCGATAAGCTGTGGTACATGCTCGAGACCACTGCATGTATTTAACAAATAATGATGAAACTGTAAAATGCTTCATGACACGGATGGACAATTTTGGAGGACAGTACACTGAGTTAAAGTTGGCTTGTGGGAGAGTGGGGGAAGGTGGGGTGAAAAAGAGGAGCTGATACCAAGGGCTCAAGTAGAAAGAAATTGTTTTGGAAATGTTGATGGCAACATATATATAAGTGTGCTTGATACTATTGAATGATGGGTTGCTATAAGATTTGTAAGAGCCCCCCACCCCAAATAATTAATTTTTTTAAGTTAGCCAATCACAAAAGGATAAATACTGTATGAGACTACTGTTATAAAGAAAAGAAAATTAAGGTAACGGTTTTGATACCATAAGAAACAGACTTTGATGGTTGTCAGGGATGGAAGGGGAAGGCAGGCAGGGGCAGAAATAGGCTAGAAGGTAGACAGGTGTTAACTTCAAAAAGTTCATAGAAAAATTCCATTCACTTTTAATCTGAGTGTTCCACAAACTTTTTAGAGCATCTTTGATATACATCTATGTAGAGAAATGATACTGTTGTTATTGCTGTCAGGTGCCATCAAGTTGGTTCTGACTCACAGTGACCCTCTGGTCTATAGCAGTAATATCTGTACACACACACACACGCACGCACGCACGCACGCACACACAGAGATCCTGAGTAGAAATTTGAGTGCAGAGCAGTCTGACAGGTGGAATCCCCACGGTCCCAGGTAACTGGAGGCAGGGCGTCCTGCTTCAGAAAGGACTCAGTCATGCAGCCAGAGCTAGGTTCTCCTGCTCTCCGGGGTCTGGGAGGGTTTCTCATCTCAGAAATAGCTCCTGTGAAGCCCGGAGGATGTCTGGAGTCGGTCTATTCAATTCCAGCCTCGGTAATAATTAGGTTAAGCCAATCAATATCCTGCATTAAGCGTGTGGCTGCCTACTTTTACATAAATTAAATTGAGTAAGCTACAGAAAACAAGGCTGCCTGGAGACATATAAAGATGGCTGGTGGCATGTACTCTCTGGGCCTGGCTTCTAATGAATCCAATTGCCAGCAGAGTGCAGGATAAGGATGGAGAATGGCTTTCCATTGGATACAAATTCTGATTGATAGGAAATTCTAATCATTACATTTTTTAAATTCTGAAGAATGGCAGAGCCAGCCAATGCAGCATTCAAATGAGAGAGCAGAAAAGACAAGACTTGGGAGGTGTTCCCACACACGGGCAATGAGAAAAATAAATCCAGGAGATGTTGCAAGAAGATCTTAAGTAAGAATAAATGATGTCAACTGCCATCTAAATGTTAACAACAACAAACAGAACACAGAAGAAAGGAAGAGAAAAACCCTCCTTCATAACTAGTAGAGCTGGAATGTAGATAAAATCCAGCATGGTAAGGGACAGGCTGGGTCAGGAAACCTGGGATACAGGGACAAATGAGTGGCCTGACATTCTTTGTGCTAAAGGAGAAGATACTGCTATTATCTTAAGGCATGAAGGAGATAAGCGAAATATAGTAAAATGACAGCAATTTTTTAAAGTAAGATGGTAGAAAGAAGTCCAACTATATCAATAATCACAACGACCGTAGAAGGAAGAACATCAACCATTAAAAGACCGGCATTGTCAGATTGGATTGTTGAAAATCAAGTATATGGCTTCACACACTGGATGTATAGATGGAGTGTGATAAGAGCTGTACAAGCCCCCAATAAAATGATTGTTTTAATCATTTTATTAGGGGCCCAGACAACTCTTATCACAATCCATACACACATCAATTGTGTGAAGCACATCTGTACATTCATTGCCCTCATCATTCTCAAAACATTTTCTCTCCACTTAAGCCCCGCCCCCTCCCCGGCATCAGGTCTCTAAAATGATTTTGTTTAACATCAAGTGTATGCTCTTTATAGGGAACAGACATGGAAACTTAAAACTTTTTAAATCTCCCAGGCAAATACTACCCTCAAGAAAGCTGAGGTAGCTAGAGTCACATCTCATAAGTCTGCCCCCCAATAGTTGTATTGATATAAAATTAACCTACCATGCACTTCAATAGTTACGTCACTTTTTAAATCAGTGGTGGTGCACCCCCACCCCACCCCCACCCTGTCTTCACTGTTTACTCTCCTGTCTTTAACTGGAAGCCCACCACTGGAGATAGAGAGGCTGGCAAGATAATGATGAAAGAAGAATATTGCGCATTTGAACATGATGTTGTTATGGTTGCTGGGTACCATCAGGTCGATCCCAACTCACGCAACAATGCACAACAGAGCAAAACCCTGCCCGGTCCTGTGCCACCCTCACAACTGTTCCTCTCCTTGAGCCCGTGAGACAGCTAGTAAACCAGGGCTCATGTTGGGTAAAGTGGAAGGGCAGCCAACAAGAGGAAGGCCCTCACAAGACGAGCTGACCACAGTGGCTGCCACCATGGGCTCTCGTAGGGGCACCATTGTGAGGATGGTGCGGGACTGGGCAGTGTTATGCTGAGGGTCACGATGGGTCCGAACTGACTTGATAGCATGTGATACTAGGGCAACAAAAAGGCCTAACAACTAATTTTGATGGGCCCTCAGGACCAATCATGAGAGCAGAGATACCAGGAGGGGAAGGGGAACGTGGGAAGAAAGGGGGAACTGATCACAATGATCTACATATAACTCCCTCCCTGGGGGATGGACAACAGAAAAGTGGGTGAAGGGAGACATCGGACAGTGTAAAACATGAAAAAAATAATAATTTATAAATTATCAAGGGTTCATGTGAGAAGGAGGGTGGGGAAGGGAGGAGGGGAAAATGAGCTGATACCAAGGGCTCAAGTCAAAAGAAAATGTTTTGAGAACGATGGCAACAAACGTACACATGTGCTTGACACGACGGATGGGTGGATTGTGATAAGAGTTGTACGAGCCCCCAATAAAATGATTTAAGAAAAAAACAACCTCCATACATCATTAGGTAATGTGGCTAGGAAAGGCTGCCTCTCTCTATAACTATTGGATAAATAAAGCTTGTTTGATTTACTCAACAACAACAAAAAGTGTTGGTGGAACGGCCAGAAGAAAATCACTGTCTTTGCCCATTTGGACGGAGCGCTTGTCCTTAGAAGCCGGCACTCGGTTCAGGAAACCCCTGGGACCCTCTTCCTTCAGTCCAACACTTCCATCTCCCTGGAAAACTGTTATTGACTGGGCCTTCTTCACGCCTGGTGTGACAAGATTGGCCAGCGTATTTCTTTATAGTGCTGCAGGAGGGACCCTTACGCCTCGGCAGTCCCAGTGACCTGGGTTCTAACCAATCTCAGCACTGTCTCAAGTCAGACATTGTCTTTTGGCCTCCTAAAGCCAGTTTCCAGTGTCAGCTTCGTGAGGGTGTAGCCGGAGTGTAGAGGTTCGGATCTGAGCCCTGTCCTGAGAACTGACTTGTCGCCTCCGTTTCGCAGGTGGAGAACAGCAGCATAGCCTGGTCTCTTGGCTACATGCTCAACTTGACCAACCAGATCCCAGCCGGAAGCTCCCTGATTCAACTGCCCATTCAGCCGCCGGCCTTTGTGGGCATTCTCACCGCCTTTGCTGTGGTGGCCTCGCTGTGTCTGGCCTTTCTTGTGTACCTGTGTGCGGTGTCCCGGATACAGAAGCCCTCCCAGCATTCCTTTGACCACACTGTGGACTCAGAGTGAGCCTCACCTCGGGCAGCTGCTCTTGAAGCCCAAGGGCTGCCCAGAGAGCCAGGCTGGCCGTGTGCCAGGCAACAGACAAAATGTTCTCCAGGAAACCCAGCTGAAGTCAAATAGCCTAAGGCCTCCCCATGCTGATTCTCGCCAAATCTCCTCTGGGAGTGCGCCTTCGCTGTGTTTGCACACTGCTCCTCCGCAGCCCAGACCCCCACTGGATCTCTCCGGAATCCAGGGAGAGATATGCCATTGAGGTCAGGCTCTCGGCCCCAGTGTTCCCCGAGATGGAGCAAGTTGAGGCTGTGCCAGTTAATGATGAAGAACGGCTCTCCAGGCTCAAGGGCCATTCTCCCTCCCTCAGAATTCCTCCGGCAAATGTCAGTGCTGCTGGGTGCCACGAAGACCAGGGAGTTCAATCCTAAATTCCACTTTATCAGAGCCAACCCTGCCCCACTCCCCTTAGGTCCTTAGCTAACCCCTTTGGCAAACCTGTCCCATCGAGTGCCTGGGACAGGTGCTGGGGGCAGAAGACCCCTTTATCGCAAGGCAGAGGCTACTGCCTGGCTTCTCTTCCATGGTAAAACCTGAAGCACAGTCACACACAGGACTTAGCTTCTCCCAGGGCAGTGCAGACGGTCCCCACAGTGGAATCCCACCCAGGGCTCTGGTCTCTAGCTTCCAGCCTGGAGACTTCAGTAGCCTCATCTCCCCCTTCACAGTCCTGTGGCCGCTTAGAGCCTACTTCGACTGCTAGGGGGTCACTGTCTTCTAGACCATGTTTCCCTCGCGAGGCTTTTGCTTAGAGAACTGCCCTGTCATCGCCTGCATGGTGTGTTTCCTTGGCCCACCACGTACACCTGATGTCCTCAAAGCCATCCTTCATCTCTAATTTGCTGACCAGTGACTTTCCTGGCTCCCACGACTCTGAGTGCTGGCTGTAGACCTCGACTTGGGGCCAGAGCAGGAAGCTGCAGGAACCATTTCCATCCACAGTGGGAGGGGAAAGACACCAGCAACTCCACCAGGGACAAACCCAAATGTCCCCTTCTTTCCAATTGCTGTGTGTGCCCTTACCCCTGATGAAATAAAGGACTTTTAGTTTCTCTGGACTTGCAGTGTGTGTGTGCCTGTTCATTTGCATGTGATACTCTTTTCTCCTAAAGACCAAAGGTACTCTTTTATAAGCGTTTTGGAATATAAGAAAACGCTTCCCCTAGTGAATGAAGAACACACAGACTGGGTCTTTATTCCAGAGTTGGGACTGCATTCACCTTGCTGAGCTCTGGTTCCTTGTGCTAATTACATGAAACACTGCTTTCTTCGACATTTATGTCTCTGTTAGCCTGTAACCTGCCAGTCAGACCTCGATGCTCACTCTCAAATAATGCCGATGAGAACATCCACGAAAGCAACCACGCTGGACAACTGCAGTCCTGCCAAATCCAATTGAAAATACACCCACACCAAATGTCCTGTCAATTCCAGTCCAAGAGGTATAGCTTAGAGGTATGTATTCTTAAACACGTATGTGCCTAAGAAGCTTCCTGGCAGCAACCAGGATGCCCAGGATCAGTAAAATGCATGAATAGACCGTGACAGTACCTGCACTAGAAAATAAACTGATGAAAAGAGCGACTAATACATGCTCGTTCCAGATGCATCTTACAAACACACTACTGAGGTTAGAGACCAAGTCACAAAAATATATAGTATAGTGTATGTAAACTTCAGAATCAGGCCAAACTGAATACAGCAGGCAACACTTTCCAGAAAATGATTACTCAAGTTTGGAAGAGTACCAACTGAACTATTTCAATAAGACGATGAAACACCGGAAGGACTCACTCACTCACCTATGCCAGGAAATTTGGAAGACAGCTACTTGACCAAGTGATGGGAAAAAAATCCTTATTGGTACCACTTCCTAAGAAAGTGACCCAACAGGATCAGGTATCAGGCATCATCAGAACAAAAAATCATATTATTGTGAATGAGGGAGGGAGTGCAGAGTGGAGACCCAAAGCCCATTTGAGGCCATTGGACATCCCCTTACAGAAGGGTCTCGGGGAGAAGACGAGCCAGTCAGGGTGCGATGTAGCAATGATGAAACATACAACTTTCCTCTAGTTCCTAAATGCTTCCTCCCCACCCCCACACTATCATGATCCCAATTATACCTTACAAATCTGGCTAGACCAGAGGATGTACACTGGTACAGATAGGAATTGGAAATGCAGGGAATCCAGGACAGATGATCCCTTTAGGACCAGTGGTGTGAGTGGCGATACTGGGAGGGTAGAGGGAGGGTGAGTTGGAAAGGGGGAACCGATTACAAGGATCTACATATGACCTCCTCCCTGGGGGACAGACAACAGAAAAGTGGGTGAAGGGAGACGTCAGACAGGGCAAGATATGACAAAATAATAATTTATAAATTATCAAGGGTTCATGAGGGAGCAGGGAGGGGGGAAATGAGGAGCTGATGCCAGGGACTTAAGTGGAGAGCAAATGTTTTGAGAATGATGAGGGCAATGAATGTTCAAATGTGCTTTACACAATTGATGTATGTATGGACTGTGATTAAGAGTTGTATGAGCCCCTAATAAAACAATATTTTTAAAAAGGTGACCCAACAGAATGCTCAAATTATAGAACAATATCACTAATATCTGGGAGAAAACTAGGCTTTCTACTCCTGTGAACAGTTAGTCTTGGAAACCCACAAGGTGGCGCTATGAGTCAGCACTGACTTGATGGCAGTGAGATCACTAATGTCACACACAAAGTAAACTTTTGCTGAAGGTCATCCAACAACGGCTGGCTGCAGCAGTACACTGACAGGAGCTTCCAGAGGTCTGGTCCAGTGGAACACGGAATTTCACTGCTGGTGTCAGATAGATTGGGGCGGAAAGCAGACAGTACTGCAAAGATGTTTACTTGCGTTTTGCTGACTATGTCAAGGCCTTCTACTGTATGGATTATAACAAACTATTGGATAGTCTTGAGAAGAATGGGAATTCCAGAACACCTTAACTGGGCTCACATGGCACCTGTACATGAATCAAGAGGCAGTGGTGCTAACAGAACAAGGAAATAGCGCATGGTTTAAAATCGGGAAAGGGGCGTGTCAGGGTTGTATCCCTTAAATAAACCTATTCAATGGGCATGCGGAGCAAATAGTCTACGAAACTGATAATAAGAAACAATGTGGCATCAGGGTTAGAGGAAGGTTATTAACCTGTGAAATGCAGGTGACACGGCCTTGCCTGCAGAAAGTGAGGAGCACGAGAAGCACTTGCTGGTGAAGATGGAGGGTTGCAGTCTTCAGTATAGATTACAACTTAATAAAATCAAATGGACCACGAGGTAACAGCATGATAAATGGGAAAAAGATGGAAGGTGTCAAGGATTTCGTCTTGCTTGGGTTCACAATCAACGCTCATGGAACTAGCAGTCAAGAGATTAAAAGACGAGTTGCATTGGGGACCTCTTTAGAGAATGGAAACGCAAGGATGTAACTCTGAGGAGTACGTTGCACCTGACCCAAGCCCTGGTCCTTTCAATAACCTCAGATGCACGTGAAACTTGGACATCGAATAAGGAAGAGCGAAGAAGCATCGATGTATTTGAAGTATGGGGCTGGTGAAAAATCTTGAAAGTACCATGGATTGCCAAAAGAAAAAACAAATCTGTCTCGGAAGGACAGCCAGAGTGCTCCTTATCGACCAGGATGATGAGACTTAAGTCGTATGTACTTTGTGAGACGTGTTGTCAGAAGAGACCAGTCCCTGAAGAAGGACAACAAGCTTGGGATAGCAGAGGGGCAGCCAAAAAGAGGAAGGCCCTAGATATGGCAGATTGACACCTGGCTGCAAGGATGCTCTCAAGCACAGCACGGGGCAGGGCAGGGTTTCCTTCTGTTGTGCGTGAGGTAGCGATGACTCGGCACTGACTCACTGGCCCGACCAACAAGGGAAGTTTGGGAGACACAGGAGTTGCTTGGGGGAAGGATTAAACAAGGATTATGATCATGATTATAGGCGTTCCCTTTTTTTCAACCATTTATGGACTCTCTGGGTGCACTATAGCTCACTGCCATCAAGTCAATTCTAATTCATAGTGACCCTATCAAAGGGTCAAGGGTGAACTGCCCCTGTGAGTTTCCAACACTAACTAGAAAGCCTCAACTTTCTCCTGCACAGCTGGCTAGCGGAGTCGAACCGCCGGCTTCACAGTTGGCAGCCTAACTCGGAGCCCCTGTGGCCACCAGGGCTCTGCTAGGTCCTGTAAGGTTACAGACCTAGGCTACCTCAGTTTCCCATTCACTACCTCCGTGAGCTTCCTACGTCCTTTTAACCTCTTTGAGCTTTTATCTCCTCATTGGTGAAATGCAGATAACACCTGCCACATGCCATTGTTTTCAGAACTAAAAAACACCGCACTCAGAGCATCTCATTGATGCCAGCCCGTGGGTAGAACTGCCCCATGCTTTTCCAAGACTGTAACTTAACAGGAAGAGAAAGTCCCGTATTTCTCCTGCAGTGGTTCCAACCACTGATCTTTCAGATCGCAGCCTGTCCAGTAACCACTAGACCCTAGACCAGCGGCTCTCAACCTGTGGGTTGTGAGCCCTTTGGGGGTCGAAAGACCCTTTCGCGGGGTCACCCGATTCCTAACAGTAGCAAAATGACAGTGATGAAGTAGCAATGAAAATAATTTTCTGGTTGGGGGGTCACCACCACATGAGGGTCGTGGCATGAGGAAGGTTGAGAACCACTGCCTTAGACCCTAGCACAGGGTCCACACCAAAAGTCCACTCTCACTGCCATCGACTCAGCTACGCTAGAGGACAAGGAGAAGTCACTGCCCTTTGGGGTTTCCGAAGCTATTACAGAGCAGAAAGGAAGCCTCACCTTTCTCTCAAGGAGCAGCTGGTGAGTTCCCACTGTAGAGCTTGCACCTAACAGACCCATGTGTAATACTCTATGTCACCAGGTTCCCTACCACAGAATGTAATGAATAAGCGATGAGAAGATTCTCTCTCTCTCTCACTCATTGCATCACACATTCACCCTGAGTCTTCCACATGCCAACCACTGCCCTAGGTGACAGAGTTCCTCACAGACAAGTGTCTTCACCTTGGAGCACAAGGCACAGAGGCCCCCTGCTGGATCCCTGAGAAAATCCTGGCTAGTCGCTGTTTTCCCCTGGATGAAAGATGCTTGGTTATCGTAAGATCTAATGGAGTAGGTCTGTCTGGATAGGACAGGCTGGATGAACAATCTGGAGGAGAAAACAACGGGAGGGGGGGACGACACATGGCAGAGGGGGAGGTGGGAGGAAGGGAAGAGGTGATAACAAACCCATGGACAAGGGAACAACAAGCAATCCAAATTGGTGGGTGGTGAGGTGGGTGTGGGAGACCTGCTAGGGCATGATCTAGGGGAATGTAACAAAGAGGAAGTGCTGAAATCCTGGTGGGGACTGAGCATGATAGTGGGACAGGAGGA